TCTCTTGTCTGCATGGGCCCAACAACCAACAGGAATAAAACCTCTGAAGAACTAGCATGACTCTCTCATTACCCTCAGACCAACCAAACTCTGATAGCCCTAGAATTAAGTTCCAAATCCTGATGATCTGAGGGAGACAGAAACTCTACACATTGGGTGGATAATATTGGTGAAGATGTGAATTGAATGACTAATCCTGACTTAAGAACCTGCAGTGCTCCTGGATCTGTGACTAAGGTTACCACACATCCAGAAATTCTTGAAGCCAAGCCTCCACAGACCCTGAAGGTATACAAAAACCACCGGCAATCCGGCCCGAGCAGTAGAACCCTTGGATATGGACAGAATAGATTCTAGGTACCAATGTACCAAGGGGCTGATGTCCAAGGTCAGGACCAATGAATAGGAGCAGAACTATGACCCCCTGTAAAAGCTGATGAAGTTTAGGACTTCAACAAGGTGGAATTTAGATGCCAAAAACTGAACTAATGTGCATGCTAACAATGGATCCAGCTCATCATCAACGAAGTTGGTGATCCTAAGAGTCTTCCAACAAAGTGAAATGGAAGGAAAACAAAATGTTCGATTTTAGAGCAGTAAGTCTGTAGACTTATTTTGTTCTATTAGAGGACAGTGAACTATTCAGGTTAACCACAAACTCTGCCTTAGAACCCCAAAATTCTAAGAGCAAATGTATTATTTGAGTCAGAAAATGCTTCCACCTGGTAGTGGTAGGCTATGTCCAACAACATGTCAGGTAAGGCATAACTGCTCCTTCACATAACTGAGAAATAAACCTTCCAGGATGAACTACAATATCCATGGATAGAAAACTAAAAATTTACTCCCAGACCTATCAAGTAAGGTGCAAGCTTAAAAGCAGCCAAGATATCACACTCTGATGAACCAACAGAAGAAAACAAATCAAAGGTCAATGTGGCCTCCTGTTTGTTTTTGATAGTTCATTTAAAGACTGTGTTGATTATCATTGATTGGGATAACATTTTGTCAAGTAAATTTGTTGTGTTAGAGCAAAGCAATGTTATGCCATCCATCATGTCCAGCATAGGGAATCAAACCCTGAACCCCAGCGCTGCGAGTCTGCAAACTTACCACTAGGTTATAAAAGATTGGAACAAGTGAGAAAAAATCAGACCAATGCTTAGATGGGCAAAAAAGAAACCTTGGCAGTTGTGTAATAACTATAAGCGGGAAAGGAGGTAAGTATGTTTTGGCTACATATTAATTTACCTACGTTGTGAGTCTTAAACAACAACAAACAATGTTATGAACATAAAATCACCACAAGCTCTCAGGCAAGTTGTGGATAGAAACAGAAGTTTATAAAAATATATTAAAATAATTAATTCAGTGGTCATGATAGTATTTCAAAACTTATGGTTTTTAACACATGCTTTCTAAAAGTCTGCATTTTCAACCATAACACCTCCTTTGCTTTTATATATTGTATCAAAGTAATTAATTTCCAATGAACATTATTCCATATTAAGTAAATATACAAAGAGTAATGGGTCAATCGTAATGCCTAATATCAAACATGCTGTGGGGATACTGGATACTTCTAAAGACTAAAGCTGTCTAAAGTTTATGCATTCATTTAGAAACAATGACAGATTTATTCACTATCAGTCACCTATTTCAACAATACTTTGTTCAGTGTTCACTTTTCCAGATAGTTTAGTATTATTTTATATGTTTATGAGTTTGTTTACAATAATTTTGGAGTCTTAAGTGTCATACCTATAACAACATAGTTACTCAAATGGTTTGTAACGAAGGGAAAAGAATATTCATAAATAACTTTTATTAGGTAAATATGTACATAGCCAAAGTAAAAACCTAGTAATTAGAATATTCTTTAATTATCCTAAATCTCAAGTAAAACAACACATAAATTAGAATAAAGCAATTTATTTTGTAAAATAAGATGTATAATAGTCATAACTTGATCTTGCAAATTTTGAAAAACATTAGGGATTGAATAAGGATGCTTGGAACGTTTCTCACATTGTATTAAATAAAAACATGCTTGGAAATATTAACCAGCAAGTGATGTGAACTTAATATGTATATATTTTACAATATTGGCTGGAATAAATTGTCAAAAATGTATACTGAGAAATCAATAACACAAAAAACTTGTATTTCTTAGCATTACTACTTTCTAGGTCTTGTTTAAATTTCATGTGACTACAGCCAGACTTTTATTTTCACTTCTCGGCCCTTCTGACAATTTATATATCACATAGGCTTATTTGTGGTGTGTGTATGTGTCCATGTGGCAAATCACCCCCCCCCTCCTTCAATTTTTTAAAAGATGTGAATATGTTGTTTTTCATCTCAATTATTTTTATGTACAACCAGTTGTCAAGATAAACAATATATGCACTAGGATCATGCAGAAACTCGCATAACATTGCAGCTACCTCACCCATAGCCCCAAAGTAGGGAGTTTGATACATTTTCTGTTGGTAGTGAAACATGAACCATAGAGCCTGAACCAAACTAGCTAAACTCAGGTATGGTAACCATTAATAAACTACAAAAAAAAAAAAAAAAAAGAAGTAAAATTTTCATTTTTCATTTAGTCCTGCGTGCAGGGATGGGATCGAAGTGCACATCACAATTTCCAGGTTTACATTCAAATTTAATTAAACAACTTTATTATTAATGTATGTCAATAAACTTGATATCAAGAAAGAATATTTTAATTCAAGTTTTAAAACTATGTAACTTTTAACTCCTTAATCTAAAAAGGAAATATTCAAATAAATCCTGAATCTTCACTTCTCTATGTCACATGATGTCTCTCTGTTCTGAATTCTTCATTTTAAATTTTCTTTCTTACCTTACATTGATTTCAGAATACTCACTAACAAAAAACACCAGCTATGGATATTGATAGGCCAGAATTTAAAATAAGAACCTTCCCACCTTCATTATTTTCCAAGATATCAATAAATTTTATACACCAACCAAATAAGCTCCTCTCAACTCTTCATGCTTTTGAAATTTACTTATTCACTTATGCTTACTTGTTTATGCTACATATTTATGACAAACAGAAAAGCCATTTTTGTAAACTATGTGAGTATAATGCCTTTATGTTAATTTATTTCAATAAAAGGTGTCATTTCTCAAGCACATTTTATTAATTGAACAATAAAGTACATGTTCTAATGAGTAATGAAATTTTTTAAACATTTTCCATAGATCAGTTAGAAAGCTTGATAAATTATAGTAGTTTTGGAACATTCCGTTTTATTATCTGAATTACTGTTTGTTTATTAAAATGCATATATGAAAATTACAAAAAATATGTTTTGGACAAACAACTAAGACACAACATTAAGGAGTAATGAAGACCAGCTTCTGAAGAGCATGTTTGATTCATGATGTAAGTGTTAAATTTCTTCCTTTTTTAAGTATATTTTTTATTTACTGATATATATTTAAAAAGGTAAGTAACCCACTCCCACTGAGTGATTTATTGCAATTCACAGTAGTTAGAAACAGTTCAAAGATAATAAAACAATAAAATGAAATTGAAGCAATTGTGAAAAAGTAAGAGGCCCATAAAGTTTAAGAAAAACAGTTGTAATTCTCTGTTACAATCTGCAGTCAATTCTAGTTATAAAAAGTTTGATTTTATTTCATCTTTTGATATGTATGATTTTGCTGCAGTTAATTTTAGGGTAGAGAAAATACCTACAAAAACTATAAAGTTTTACTAAAAAAAACTCATAAATTTTAGTAACAAAAGTGACAGGCATCTGCAAGATTCCAGTCATTAGCTTTTTACAATAGGTAGAATAGTTCAATTGTTTTAATTAAATATTTTTTATCACTTTCATCTGGAAAAAGTTTTGGTATTTCGATTAAGTAGATTTTCAGACTTTTAATAGATTCTCCATATTGGAGAAAACTATTAGTATTATGAAAACTAGCATTAATGTATATTAAAACTTGTAGTACATGAAAAATTCATGTGACAGCTTGTAGCTTAACTTTTCAATGATTGCCTACATCTGTGTGCTTACTTGCAGAATACATTCTTTCAAGAAACAACAGCTGTCTTTTAACCATTCATGTTTGTAAGCTCAGTGATATGTACTCATGTTAGTCAAAAGCAAGAAAGTCAATACTTGTTCTTTCAAATTGTAATCTTGATAAAAGTGAAATAAAAGCTCAATTGTTAGTTATCCAATATTACATTAAGAATAACTGCAATTAAACTTAGTTTTTAAGGGTTGAATCACATAATGACCCAGCAATTTACAAACATTTCAAAACAAATTCAAGTTTTTATTTGCTATGTTGGTTATTGTAGTAGTTTCCCTTTTCAAGTAGCCTACTTTGGAATTAAAAAACAGAAAAAATACAAAAAGAGATTGATTACAGAGAGTTGTCATTGTTGTTGAATTTCACACAAAGCTACTTGAGGGTTATCTGCACTACCTGTCTCTAATTTTGAAATGATGTACTAGATGGAATGCAGCTAGTAAACGTTGCCAACTCATGAGCTACTATAATCAAGTAGAAGGATTTGTCCATCACGTAAAAGTACAGAGCACGATTTACGTTTTGGCAGTAATGGAGTATGAACTACAGTCCAGCATGCTTATATCTAGTTGAGTTTTGACCTTATAAATAACTATTTTAATATTCAACTAGCTTATTTAGACACTAGCGTAATTTATTTTTGGTTATTAGCATTGCTTTTACTGATAAGTATTGGTCTTTGTGTAACCTGGACCAAGCATATCCCAGAACACATAAATAATTAACTTACTATATTAATTTCCAGGAAAAAAAAAGGCAAACATCCTAGTTCAATGGGAAGAGATTAAATACTTATTTTTCAAAAGACAAAAAACTGTGGTTCAAGAAGAATAAACAGTAATACTACTACCAGAAAAAAAAAAGATTGATAAAAAATAGTTTAGATCTTTAAATACCCTAGAAATGATAACACTTACATGGTTGTACCCTGTAGGTTGATAACAGCAAGGCAGATATGACATGGTTGTTTTAATATCTTCCTCAGCCTTATCACTTCTATAGCATGCATGCAATTTTGTAGATTTGTAATTAACAGTTAAAACCTCCTCTATCTCACTAATACCACTGTACTTAGCCAATGTGTGATGATTCACGTGTACCTGCAAAATTCAATAACATTTTCTTTCTAAAAACATATATTTGGTCTAAAACAATTATTTAGAAACCTGTTATCAAGAAAATAGTGTCTACAGCACTCAAGAATACACATAAGTGGAGCTGTTTGTACAAAATGTATCCAAAGATTCAGCACTTATCACCTAATAGACATTAAAATCATGTTTAGTTACTTAAACATTTGTAATATTTAAAAATGTTTGGGTGATACCAAAATGCAATAATATTCTGCAAATACAAATATTTTATCAAAAACAATTAAACAGAAATTGTAGTCAATGAACTGAATATTGGTCTGCTGAAACACAATGGTTAAAACATAAGATATTGTATTTTGAATTTACATCCTGCACTATGAACAAAATGCTTAAATAACAGGTTTCCTAATTATAGTATTTTGGCACTT